CCCTCCCTCTCTCTTACTCTTTGTCGCTTCCTTTTTTTTTTTTTTTTTTTTTTTTTTTTTTTTTTTTTTTTTTTATTTTTTTTTTTTTTTTTTTTTTAGTTTTAAGACGATGAAAAAAAATTGTCTCTAGTAGTGTTGCACTGAAACATTTTTTTTTTTTTCCACGCGTTTCATTACTGAGCTCGTAAAGTTTTTCCGGAAAATTGATCACACGTGAAATATTATATGGTAAAATAAAACTCCTGGACCTCCTTCCAGACGACGGTCGAGTAATGAAGGCTCTGAACACGAAGAACCCCTTCTCGAGAAACGAGTCGAACCAGGTGATCGTCAGCGACGTCCAGGTGCTGAAGCACGGTAAGCGCACCCCTGCCCACTAGTGTCACTCTATAGTGCAGTAGAAGGGAGTATAGTTGATACATTGGGCATTGGTTGTATGTGGCAGGTCAAGCGGTGAGGGACCTGCAAGTGGTGCACCTGGCCGGGGAGGCGAGCAAACTCGTGGTGATCGCGGACTCGGAGATACGGGCCGTGCCCTTGCAGCACTGCGATTCCAGCCAGGCGGCCTCCTGCGCGGCCTGCGTTGGCCTCCAGGATCCGCACTGCGCCTGGGACGCGGCACACTCGCAGTGCGTCGCCGTTATGACGCGCCTGCACGACAGCGACGCCGATCGCATGCTCTACCAGAACATCAGCAGCGGCAAGCACAGAGCCTGCGGACACGATCAAGGTCAGTCCTCGCGTTCAGTGAACCTTTTATTGATTTTTTTTTTTCCCCTATATTAAAACAACACGGGGAGTGGGAGCGGCTCTTGGTTTCTTTCCCCCCCCCCCTTCGTTGGCACTACTTGTACTTTAGCGAATCCATCCTTTGATCCGATGTAATGTAATAGCGGTAGTGCAGCGGTAGAATTTAAATCAACATTTATAAGGTTTCGATAATCACGCGGAAAAATCAATGTTGCACTTCATAACGACACTTGATCAATCATTTAACGACATTTTATGGGCTTGGTCCTAGAAACAAGTAAAATAGTTCATGACACTTGTACTTTTAGAACTTTTTTTTAATGCAATGCAATGTAGAAACGATACAAGACCTATGCAATATTGTCGCTAATATTATAATTTTGAAATATTTCCTTCAAGTGTCGACATGTCGGGCGATGTACATACACGTGTTGCATTCACAAACTCTTCATAATTGTAACTCATAACAATTACTAATTGAATACAGCCGAGATCTTGTGGGATGATTCACGCTGGTTGTCGTCACAATTCGTGCATAACGAGAAAATTTCATCACTAACATTCGACCTTACATACAACAGAAGTTGTGCCATAAGTAACTGTACATCATTGTCGTAATCGTAAAATTGTTTGAGAGGGGGGGAACGTCAATAAAAAATAAATAACATTCCAACACACAACATCTTGGAAGTGGTAGCACACATACTACAAGCAGTGAATGCTAAAAAGTACAGCGGTGGTGGTGCTTGATGAATTAAATAAGCCAAAAAAAAAAAAAAAGAAAAAGTCCTTTGGTCGACCGTCCTTGTGAACAACGGTGAATGTTGCTCTTTAGTGCTGATCAAGGCAGCCCAGCCGATGGCACCGGCGCACATTGGGCGCGGCCAACAGCAGCCCGACGACAGCGAGAACGAGATCGTCATCGAGCTGGACCGGGACAACCAGTACAGCCGTACCCAGCCGAGGCCAAGCGAGCCACAAGGTAATGAGCTTCAATCTCTGCTTGTTGGGGACACCCGGCCAATACTTTTATTGTATCACGGGGCGCATGCACGCCTAATCAATTTTTTTTTTTTGTTTTTTTTTTGTCATCGCTTTGTGTTCATCGATCGTTCATTGGCTTTTTTTTTCGTTCGATTTCAACGCCAGAAGAAAATTTCTTGCAGCCGACAGTTTGTTTAACCGCGAAAGAAAAGATAGAGAGAGAGAGAGCTGTTTCCTTGATTTCTCGATTTCTAATCTATGAGTCACCGATCTCGAGATAATTTCACAAGATGAATCATGCACTTGACGCGTACAAGAGAAAACGAGCTGTCGGCTCAAGTGTTGTTTCTTTGTAGTGAAAAAAATCGCCTTGTTACGTATACGTACATTTTTCAAAAGTTATCGTGACTCGACAACTACATAATTATCATTGTCCATGAAACGGGAAGCTTGGATACGTTTGTGTTTTTTATTATCTGTATGATAATAATAACAACTGTGGAATCGCTCCTTTTTTTTTTTTTTTCATCGAATCGATGTATGCACGTACACTGCATGATATTTATAAATGTTTCAAGTGCAGATTGTGTTTACTCATCGACTACTTGACACTATAACAGTCGTGGCACCAAAATAACACAATGATTTGAGGAACAATAGAGAAAGAATCGAGTTAGCAACCAAACAGTTAGAGTGCGAGGCAAAAGTTGTGGAAAAAACAAACATTGAACTGTCGAGTGTACTATTTTTAAATGCAAAAGACGGACCGTTGGTTCACAAGAATAACAATAGTAACAACGAAAGCAGAAAATTTGAAGGGTATACAGGAGGAGTGCCAATACGGCTAACGGAGTTTGACTGTATGAGAGCGAAACGTAATAACTTTTACATTCAAGTGTAAGCGAATGATCTCTCGGAATATGTTTTTTTAAGCTAATATTTGCTGAAGATCCGATCATGTATAACCGTATCAGATTTGAGTTTTAATACGTTCAAGCCCATCATTTCGTTGCTCAATTTTGTTGGGATTGCCGTATATAAGTGTGCATAAAAACTTTGATACAATATAAATACCTTTCGTATTATTCCAACGGAGACCTAATAGCACATCATAGTTCTTTCGGAAAGAATAGCCAATTATTTAAATTAGGTGTTTTAAAGTTTGTTTCATTCAAACTAGTTTTACTTATTTTAAACATCAATGCAATGAACACGAGTGAATGAGTGTACATGTAAATTTTTTTTATATCTTTGGAATTGATCTTATTTTGTTCACTGTAATATTTAATGAGTTCAGAAAAGACGGGTAACATAAAAAAATCCACGCCTTTTACTGATGGCTATAAAATTTAAAGGTAAATCTTTCATCGAATTATTTCAAAACTATAAGAATAAAGAAAATTTCATCTTTACCGTGTCAATTTTCCAAAACTCAATAATTTCCAATGCCAAAACGGTCTGATAAAAATCGGCTTCTATATGAGGGTCACCATGTTTTTTAAATTTATTTTACATATAGTGGTACAAACAAAAAGCGGTACGTTTCTAATGCACGTTGTGCGTGTTTTTGTCTTTCTCTCTCGTTCTGTACAGGTGTGGCAGTGACGCCGGTGGTTTACTCGGCGCAGACGCTGACGGGCGCCCTGATCGGCACGTGCTTCTTCTCGCTGATAGCGGGCTTCGCCTCGGGATTCTGGTTCTCCCAACGCCTGCGCGGCGGCCCGTACCCCGAGCCCGCCGAGCAACGCCAACAGCTCAACCGGTTCACCGAGGCGTCCGAATCGCCGGCCGGCTTCAACAACAAGTCCATCAACCTCGTCCTCAACGTCCCGCCCAAGAACCCCAACGGCAAGAACGCCAACTCGTCGGCCGAGAACAAGCCCATGCAGAAGGTCAAGAAGACCTACATATGATACCGGAGGCGCCAACAGCCCGTCTGAGGTTTGCCCCCCGAGGCCTGTCCGGAAGCCGCAACGGTCGCCACCAGCCTGACCGACGACTACCTGCAACAGGTCCCGGAACGCTCCCGAAGAACCACCCCGACCCCCTGTCGCGCTCCCCGCTTCGACGACCTTTACCACCAGCGCGTGGAGCAGTGCGGGGACTACCTCGAGCCCCTCGACGCCACCGGTCCCCTCGCGGACGACGACTTTCTCGAGCTGGGCTGCGACGACCCACCGCCCGACTACGGACGCGCCCAGCAACAACTCCTGCCGGGCCTCGGCGACATGCTTAGGCTCGTGGCGCGGCTCGAGGACCCGCGACAAGCTGCCTGCCCGAGCGAGTCCGAGCAGGAGTACCAGGAGATCCTGGCGGAGAGGCTCGGCCCGGCTGGCGCTGGAGTGTTCTACCCCGGCGACGCGAGCCGCCGCGACACCGGCTCGGCCTGGTCGCTACACCACCGCGGCCTCTACGCGCCCTCCGAGCCCGACGGCTTCTTCTCCTAAAGCCCCGTAGCGGCCAGATCTCACGTTTACAAGCCCCCCCCCCCAGCGAAAGACTGCCCGATGCTGCTCTAGTATATTTATAATATATTATGACTCCAGTTGTACATATATATTCACGTATATAGAAGTATGTATAGCGCGTTGATTTTTATCTCGTCGTCGTTCGATTTTTGTACGGTGTCTCTCTCAAAAAAAAAAAAACAAACAAACAAGTGGGCTGTACAAAACGTTTTCGAACGGGTTACAAGGGTTTGCAATACGCCCGTATATGTACATCGTATAGGTACGCGTCTGATATATGGCCATCATGAAAAGTATACACGTGTATACGTATACAAATAACATTGGGTTGTACCCATATGTAACGTACCGTCGTCGTCGTCGTGCTGGCCGTGATAATCGAGTGCTGCCGTTGTTCGTCGTTGTCATTTCTTCCAATTTTTTACAATAAACATATAAATACGTATACTCGTAGAGTACATAAATATTAACGAACGTATGTCGCACCTCGCGTGCTCAATTGTGTAAGCACGATTTAAAAAATACAATGCGACTTGTGTACTGTATATGTGCACATTGACGATTTTTTCGTTTAGCCATTATACGCGCGTGTGTAATGCATACGTGACATGTTATAAATGTATTCGTGTGTAACGACGAGTCGCGACTTTATACCTTGGTACAAAAAAAAATAATAATAATAATAATAATAATATTGTATATTATTAACGAAGGGTACTCGGACATTTTACCCTCGACGAAACTGATGCGATAATCGGGTCGATGGAATAACAGTTGTGCGAATCACCAAGCCTTTATTGATCCACAGACGACAGTGTGTACAATTACGAGTACGAAAAACTTTCTTTTCTTTCTTTTTCTTTTTTTTTTTTTTTTTTTTTCGTTTCGCAGCTTCTCAGACGTGTTATAAATGCTCTCTATGTGTAAACAAGTATTGGACACTCGTTAGATGTTTATTTTATTTTTTGTATTAAATTTTTATACACGAGAAGAGTGAGTTAACGAAACCGCGCTCGCACAACTCAAGTGCTATAGATACCCTGAAAAAAAGATAAGAAAAGAAAAAAAATAAATACGTTTGATTGGGGTGCTGTTGTAGGTCGCTCGGACTTTGTCTCATGCGGCACTGCTTTTCTCATTGATACTCTCGAGCAAATGAATAGTATTGTATCTGTGGAAAGCAACGCTTGATTTACGCGCGTGTGCATGTGTGTTTGAATGTGTGTACTTATATGATCAAGGAATGGCATTCTGCGAAAGTAAATATATGAAGAATGTTTTTACAAGAACAAAGTAATAATAATAATCATTATTATAGTTGTAATGATATGATAATATTATTAGTATTGATATAATTTTATATTAAACGTCGTATAGAGTTAACGTCACATGAACGTGAAAAATAAATGCTCATATGGTGAGTTGAAACCGAAGGTGACGTATATAAATATATTGAGTTATTTCAATAATAAGATTGAAAAGGTAAGCAGAGCTTTGACTAGTATCTTGCATTCTTCTATGAAGTTAAATGTTTTTTTTTTTTTTTTTTTACAGCTTTTTGTTCCACCAAGGCTTCAAAGATTTGAAACAAAAATGTTATTAATAAGCAGTTTTTTTTTTTTTTTTCACACGAAGAGAAATATCTTTAAAAAATCACTGTGACGCATTATTAATACACCTAAGCTGTTGAAATGAGGATGCCTTCATTTTAATACATTATTCACCGAAAGCAAGAGTTTTCCATATTAAAAATTTTTACTCCAATTTATTTAGGTAACTGTGAAAAACGTTCATCACAGTAAAATCACTAATACCCCAATACAATCAATTTCTTCCGATTAAATGTACCGCGCACGTAACACTTCTCATATCTTGAAGTGAGGTGAATTTAGCTTTGATGAACTAAAGCGAACAGTTTTATCATCACAAAAAAAATTCGAGTAATATTGTTCGTTCATTTCTGTACGTGTGGCAAATATCGCGGAAAATGATACAGTATTTTTTACGAGATACTTCTTTTCGTGTAGGCGATAAAGGAAAGGTTAAAATATCGAGGTGAACAATGAGATTAATGACAAAATGATGAAAAAGTTTTAAAGTTATAGAATGTTACTAAAATGTGATAAGACTATAGAGGAGTGTGTTCTTTGTAGTGGCCTGTTAGGTGCTTAGAAGTCTCCAGAAGAAAAGGAACAATGTAATATCCACAGTAAGGTAAATGCGTTGCGTAGAAACTGAAATTCGCAGTCGCGGTCGAGGCGTGCCTTCCATATATATTTGTTGGCGTTTTCATTTATACAAATATTTATACACATACGTATTATACAAAGTAACATAATTAAGAGTTACGAAACGATAAAAGGCGCAAAGTAAGCAAATTAGCCAGAGGGACTTCGACACGTGCCTCGTTTTATTTAATTTTTTTTTTTTTTTTTTTTTTTTTTTTTTTTTTAAAA